GTGTGTGTGTGTGTGTGTGTGTTTGAGTGTGAGCACCTTGTTTGCGATGCTCTTTTTACTTACTGATTCATCTGTGTTCATGACTGGAAGGAAAGTAAGCCCACCTCGTTGTTACGAGTCAGCAAACTCCAATCAAAATYGCACTTCATTTTGCATATTCCAGTGTGTGATATACATATGCTTCTTTTACATCGTTAGCATAAATATTTATGTAAAAAAATCACAGTGGAACAAAAACATTATGCATAGGCTCATTTTGTATAAAACAAACTCATTGTCATCCACCACCATGCAAGATTGGTAATCATGTAGTTATCTGTGCATGTGTGGGTTTGATTGAAAGATTTTAATGAAACTTTCAGAAATAATTATTTGATTTGTCTACATCTGGATAATCTTTGGAGCCGACCCAATTTAAGAACCAACTTTTACAAAGTTTTACAAAAATTGAGCTAGAGTCTGCTGTGGTAGTAGCTCAGGGTCACCAATGCTAAGCACTAATTGCACATCATCTTTGTTTAAAACTGTGGCATGTGAGCTGGCAGAAGTTCTGTATTCCTTGAAGGAATGCTACATTTTATCTGATTTATGAGCTTAAAACCGCAAGCCAGTGAAAAAGAAATAAAATAAAAAAGATGAGACTTGACGCTTTTATACAAGAGGCTTGATAAAAATGTTGTATTGCCACTTTAAGCTTATTTAAAAAAGCAATATTTATTCTTAAGTCTCAAAAGTGATAGCTGCCAGATGGACAAGCAAGGATTCTCTTATTYAATAGCACAGTATATACAAAATCATAAATCAATTCTCAATACTGCAAGAAACAATTGATGAATCAGAGGAAAATCACATTAGAAATCTCAATATGCTTTTCAGCAGTATGGAGGAGCAAGTAAAAAAAAAAACTCAATTTAACTTAATGGGCAGGCAACAGACCTCACAAAGTACAGCCTAATCTGCACTTTCAGATGCAAAGTGCAGATTAGGCTGTACTTTGCAAGGTTTTTGTAAATTAGGATTTTTTCTTTACTAAAGTTATCACTAAAGTGTGATTTRTTTCCCGTGATTAACTCTTGATAAATGTTGTCATAGGACATTATGTTCCACAAACTGCATCAGAATGTCTCTATGTTCATATTACTTCAATCTCAATGTTTTATTGACTTGAATGATTTGGAGTTGTTATTGACACTTTTCATGAAACTTTATAGATGTTTTAAGACAAGAGAGATGTTGACAACTCCCTCTTTCAATTCAAYCATTTAGAACTGTGTCTTTAGCGTAAAAATAGGGAATGAAAACAGCTTTGATATCAATAAAATGAAATCTTAAATTAAAAWCAGATTTGCATTATTTAGTCAATTTTTTGTGCCTTTATAGCTTAGTTGTTGTAAAACTGATAAACTTAGTAATATACAGGTTCACCTAAAATACTTTTTGTGCCAATTCTCCCTTCAATCAGCTGGTTTTATCTATCTACTCATCTAGTTATCTGTCCACCCATCTTCTTTTATTTTCATTGTGAGAGAAATGGTTTTATGTTTTATCATTATGGATAATCACTTTATGCCAACACTACCTATTTAATATTWATGAACTGGCCTGATTTACCAAGTCAATAACCAGCTTTGTAGCAGTGCTCCAAACAATAACTGTTATGAAAGTTTGTAAAGCCAAAACAGTTAAAGACACCCTGGATGTGCTGAACCTTCTTAGTGTTATATGCTCTTGTTGTAGCTGTGGCTCAGAAGATAGATCGGTCATTTAGCAATAATTATCCTCTGTGCATGCTGAAGTCTTTGCAGTCATGAATGATGAATTATTTACAGGCTAATTATTTCACTTGTTTACTTGCATATTGACATATTATGGTAAATGATGTAAGGAAGAAAAAACATATGGGCAAGAGAAGCGAAGGACTTAGTAGGTTATGTACAACAGAAAAAAAAATCTGTCTAAAAGTAATACCGCTAAATAATAAGTTAAAATAATAGATCAAAGATCGTACACAGGCACTAGCAAATACAGTACATCACCTTTAACTGGTCATCAAC